GCCAGCGGAGAGATACTGCTCCTACCAGATTCTCTGCACCTCTCTTAAAACGATGATCAGTTGCAGAATAGTCATTGAAATAATGATTGGCTAGATTCCATCGATTTTTCCGTTGTCTAGGCAACAAATCTATTATGTGAACAGAACATTCGTACAGTGCGTCTGAGAGGTTCATGCTACATAAACAGGACACGTAAACAATACCGGATACACAATTTTTTTAATCACTGTTGCGGTTCTCATTGTTGGTCAAGTTTAGCATCAAAAGTCTAAAGTTAGGAGTGTGAAGAATTGCTTCCACCATGGTTCAGGAACTGTCGACTATCGACCCCACGGTTGATGTAGCTCTTATTCTTCCACATCATTCCCCCACCCCACCCCCACCCCCTCCATTTTTCACGATCAGGATTCGTTCGTTTCCCTCGGATGGCCAAGCCCGAGTCAAAAAATTATCCTGGAAGAATATTGTGCCCGTTACGGTATCCGAGAATGTCAACGACATTTGGCCTTTCTGGACAATTTGTTAGACAAAGCGGAACACGGTGTACGAATCGATCCGGATCTTATTCATTTAAGTTATTCCCTGTGTGCCAATCACGTGACCGGGAAGACGTGAGTGATTTCCGTATTTCATTCGTATCATTCACGTCTGTGACAGTTTTGTCCTCTTTTGATAAAAGTCTATTTTGAAGAAGATGCGCTACTCTCCAGACTGTTTTAAATCTGATTTCCGAACAAACCGACTAGGTGATACTAACTGGTACCTAAAAGTTTAGACGTTCGGTTGGTAACTATGATCCTGAACAGTTCTGCTTGGTTTATCCATTTGGGCAAGTTTGTTTTTGATTAAATTCTTTCGTTTGCAAATACCAGGGTCCGGTGTTTGTTATTCTCGTGAGGGCCTCAATCTTGATAAGTCCTTTACAAGCCTAACAAGTTCAACACAGTTTGATTGAAGAGAAGTTTTTCTAAATCCTCATGAAAAACATTGCACAACTGCTATTTTCTTGTTGGTACACGTCATACATACACTTTTTGCTTGATCAATCTAGACACTCAAACCACGAACCTGTCGCAAGCAAGGGGTTCCCATCCCATTGTTCTCCTCTTCTCAGTGAAGTAAAATTGCATTGTCATGATCGGATGTTTCCCTACCGCTTCCATTGTGGCAAACATATGACAACCGACCTGTCGGATAGCCAACGGTGAACCGCAGCTAAGGGTGGAATGTCTCAGTCATGTCCACAATCTAAGCGTCTAGGGGGGCATTATATTCCGTGGATTCTATGTCGCAGGCGAACGATGCACGAGTGAGAATCAGACTGGTTTTAAATTTCATCGGGGTCGCATTGGCCAAATTCTACAAAACAGTTATTCTTGTCGTCTATCTCCCATGATCTAAATACTGTCTTCAACTCAGTCGATTACCCCATACTATTGCACCGGCTCTCCGTCAACAGCGTGCCGTGGAGGCTTATTTCAATATCGCGATCCTTGTATATTGTTGATCGAAACCGGGCCCGAGTTTGCGGCTCTTTTACACCCAAGTCCACCACAGAAAACGATATTGGCCAGAATCGCCTTTCCTCTCCTTTTCAATTTACCTCTGGATCAGATGTGATTCTGTAGACAGCCCTGTGCTGATGGGAGAATACTGACCCCCATATGCTACCAGGTAATAAACTGTCCAGTGTTAGGCATGCCAGTGATACTCTACGGCTAACTGGAGATTCAGGCAAATCGTAAGCATTTTTGGGTGACTTGATTAACAGTGTACCTATGTGTGGCAGCACCTTCAAAGTGCAAGTCGTCTCTACATGGCTGGATTGATGTAGCTACTAACCTCATCCTAACTGGGGAAGCATTAGGGAAAGTGGGCAAATTTGGCTATCTTGTCAGTTACATTTAATCTGGCAGAAGGATATTGGATTACCTGTCGCCAGGACGATGAGAGCTTCGTCGGCACTTGGCTACAACATCCGTCTGTCGGTGAATGGTCGAGCGCCGCAGCTGCTTTCTGGTGCAGAGACTTGATCATTACGGAAACAGGATAAAGATAAATTGTTAATGTTTGGACATTGCTGTCTACATCGCACTGCACGATTTGTGGAGGGGGGGAGTGAACGAGTAATGCTGAGGTCAGGCACTGACGCTTAGACAATAACTTTCACATAGTAGAACAAGTGCTCTACCTCCATGAATTACATTGGCTGAGGTATATTGCACATACCACCAAGTAGATTGTCACTGCGTGCGGTGTTTGCCGAGGTAGGCCGGATAAGTCAAGGGTGTTCAGACTAAGACCCAGTAGTAGATTATGACAACTCTGAGCGAGGGACTTGCTCACGTTGGTTACGTTAGGCACCCGGGATGGGAAAATCGCGATCAGCGTAACCGATGATAAGGGACACTAAGTGATATGGCTGAGTGTCGTAGACAATGGTGTTTGTGCAACTAATCAATATCCTTGAAATCTTAGTCTAACTAAATTCTCTATTTTCGCATTGATATTGTTTCCTACATTCCAATCTTTATTCAAATGGGTAGTCATCAGACAGGAACCAAACCACCACACGAAAGAGCATGCTCAATGATTGTATGGACTGAACGGACAATTGTGTTTACTACTGAAAGACGAAATGCCTGATTCTTCTATTCCATTCAGTGTACGAGCATTTACTTAATCCATTATCGAACAACGTACATGGACCGCAACGCCAGGCTCTTATCCGCACGGATACATGAACATCATCTTGCGTGGATGAACTTCGGAATAACCAGGTCGGAGTTTTTTGCCTAGCTTAAAACGAATCGCATTGCGCACATGTGAGGCATCCCAGCACCCGTGTACCGTTCGTGGTCCAATAGCAAGGCCAGGCCGTCTTCTTGGTCGTTTCCGCTGATCGGTTTGCTATACAGCGGTCTGTTTCAACAAAACGTTGACAAACACTAATGCTTGACTTGTACACAGCTGTATAATACTGATGAATTTCCATCGAGATTCGAAGATTTTCTTCTAATTTGATTCAGTTTGTAGAAACCATCATGAGCTTATGCTACAATTGAGGAAAGAATTATAGTTGTATCAGAGCAGCTGATAGTTTTACCGCATCACTACATCTTGTGATGTTGGATTTCGTCTTTTAGGTGTACAGTCTACAAAAGAGTTATTATTTGGTTTATTGAAACGATCATCATGTCACAGTCCTTGTCATAGCATTCCGAATAAAAACAATACAGCAAATAAACTCGAACCAATGTATTTGCTTCGAGCCTACATTTGGCGTTGTTCTACTTTGCACCTCTTGTGTGACACACGGTAGTCGACCGGTGATCACATTCTCACAACCAATTATGACTAAGTGAGAAAGTCACACCCAACTACAGGTTGATTGAATCACCATCCCCAGGCTTTGGCTCTGGGTATGGACAAAGGCCTCGAGCAGAAGTTGATCAATGTTGCTTTCATTAGGCATAGGAAAATGTGATGGATAATTAGTTACAGAACGTCAGTGAACATCAGTCTCCGGAGATCGTCCATGGCCCGAGAATGAGCACTCTGTTCATACGTGATCATCTAAGTGAATTCTGAAATTGTGAAATTCGTTGAACGCATTGTAAACTATATTCAGTGAGGTCGTTCTCGGGTCGAACAGGAGTTTCGAGTTTGTGAACTGGACACATGGAGTGGAAGTGAATCACTCGGGCTTGACCTATGTAATTCATGTCTTTTGAGTTTCTCAATGTACTGGCCTTACCCAGGCTGTACTTCACGGAATCGTGATCTAACTGAACGAAATAACCGGCTACTTGCTGTCGATTTGTGACTTATGGGAGAATTATTGTTGGTTAACTGGTTTACCATGAGATCTGGATGCTATAGCTATAAACGCTCCCGTATAACAAGGCTTGTTTATTGTTATTTGGAAAAAATTTACTCTGGTATAAATACTGTTGCCTATACGAACACACAGGTGTTTCACAGGGACCTGTTGCTTCAGTTTCGATTAGACCTGTATACGTGAGTGATATCAGTCTACTGACGGTTGCATGTCTTACATGAAGACACCAGATATGGCTATGTTCAACTTATATAACAGAGGACTGTCGTATATCAGGAGCTGGTCGGCAACGCACCTGTGTATTACTGATAGTTTGAAGAAATTTAAGTGAACCTGTTTACCATCAAAACACATTTCATATGGTAATGTCTTAATAATAACAATAATAATAATCGTAATTATAATAAACTTGATACGGAACTACTCGCGGGTATTAGTGTTAGACAAGTACTATTAGTGATTGTTACTGGCCATCCATCAGAAGATCACCCACTCAATCGGCTGATCGAAAGTGTGACGGGCAGGCCAAGACCATTCAAGCAAATTGCGACCACATCAATGATTGACGAGCTACAGCCAAAGCATAACTCGTTATCACTGGCAACAAAACGGTCCAGTCACCAAAGTTGACCCCAATAGCTCCGACCCAAGCCTCTCAATATGTCATGTCATTCGAATAGGCTCGTGATCTACGACAAGACTGCACCTTGATGTGGTGTGGTGGCTTGTGCACCTCTCCGATCCAACGAGCTACAAAGGATGGCTTTTGTCAAGCCGAAAATTAAATCATACGAGGAAGGTTAAAGGGTAGAGGTCGAACGAAGTTCAGTCTCCTGGTCCTCTAGGTCGGGGGTTCGACTGGAATTGACGTTTCAGTCGGTAAACAATGGTGGAGGAGTGACTGATCCAAATAAATGGGTCTCCACTTCGCTTCACCCGCTGCCTTGCGGTTAGGTTCTTGTTAGAACTGAAGGCTTCGGTTGAAAACCCTAATCGTTCTCCTGCTTAGTGGCTGGACACCCTAACAGTACCCTTCCATCTAACCCCTGTGCATATGCATTGCGAGTTTGGTAGCGATCAGTGAAGTTCGCTTCTCTGTATTTCGTTGTGCGATGATGATGATGATGATGAAGGTTTATCGCTCAGGCTACACCGTAAGCACTGAACTCGTCCATGGTTATAGTTACTGTGGTAACCTTTGTTGATGGGACTATCGTCTATGTCCGAGGGAATACAACTTGCTTTGCTTTGACTGTTGTAGCTCGCAGTAAACCAGTTGTATTTATTGATTTGTAGTCAACTTAGTTGGCTCGCGCAAATCGCATGGCTTCGACAACCCACCGGCTCGACGTCCCCCAGTGAGCTCGACAAGATTTAAGACTGAGTCCTGCTCCATTTCAACACAGAAAGAGCGTTGGAAGACAGGTTAGCAGTAAATCATTCGAACAGTCGACCAATGGGGTGTTCTGAACGAAAGTGAATCTAACCTCAGAGCTTTATTCTCCAGTCAAAGTGATGGTTTCTCAAATCAAACTTAAGATAGCATGTACATATTTGCGTCCCAAGTCTATGTGTGGTCCAAAAGTTGTGCCTAACGCTACAGTTTTAACTACAGTCAGTCAAAATTCGCAATTTGCAATTTGTTTATCGGTCACATGTCTTGGATCATCTGGATGCACTGAATGAGCTATGATACACTATATAATGTTAACGCACAATAAAAGCATCGAACGGCACAAGTCTCTTGTCCCTCAATACCGTTTGAGTACACCAAACCTTGTATACTCCCCGAACTTTAGTTTGATCACTTGTTCTCCGTTACTCTTGACCCCTTTCACTCCTTTGATTTAGAAATCACGATCAAGCGGTACACACGGTACTCGCAGTGGAACGGGAACACTTTCAAGCCGTAAAACAACGTTTGACCACTCTGCTCGAGCGTCAAATCACCGAATTTCGTTACTGTTTCCCCTTCGGTCGTCCGGAAGGTGCGCTAGAAAAGACAATCGGACTGCTTGAACGGGTGAGTGTTTTGCATCACATTGGGTGGAGCTCCGGACTCTATCTGATATTGAAGTCTCGGAAACGCTTGTGTGTGCGTGCGCGCGCGTCGCACCATATGTTGAAAAAGGTGCTGAGTGAGCGTGTGTACGATAGTCCATATCAGACAAGTCTGCATTGCTTATTCATTCAGACGAGCAGTTTGTACAATGTCAAAATGGTTCATTTCTAATCAGATTAATTGTGGCCCAATTAACATCAGAGTTACTCAGGATATTCTTACTACAGAACACGGAATGGATGCAGATCAGAGGAACAAAAGGGACATGACTGCGCGGTCACTGATGACAACACTTGC